ACTAATTTTTCACTGGTATATATAATGAAACTTAGCGATCTCGTACGTTGTGATTCACTCTTTATTATATTATGAGGATAAAAAACAACATATTTATTAATATAATTCTGATTATAAAATGTTGTTTTATCTTGTTTTATCCTTACCTGCTCCAATACGAATAATCATAGTAGTTTATTTTGTCTATATAAGAACCTCACATTTGGTACACTCGCCTCACAGTACCTGTACGCAATTATCTTTTGAATTTTTTTATCTGATCAGCAAACATGAGCGGACGTGGTAAAGCAGGCAAATCCAAGGGCGGCAAGTCGAAGACTAGGTCTTCTCGGGCTGGACTTCAGTTTCCCGTCGGTCGTATTCATCGTTTATTGAAGAAGGGAAATTACGCTGAACGTGTTGGAGCTGGGGCCCCGGTTTACTTGGCTGCCGTTATGGAATATTTAGCGGCCGAAGTGTTGGAATTGGCCGGTAATGCTGCCCGCGACAACAAGAAGAGTCGTATTATCCCTAGACATTTACAATTGGCCATCAGAAACGATGAGGAGTTAAATAAATTGTTGAACGGTGTTACAATCGCCCAAGGAGGAGTGTTGCCCAACATTCAAGCCGTTCTCTTACCGAAAAAGACTGAGAAAACAAAAACGGCCTAAAATTACTTATAATTTACTACTAAATAACTTTTACCACATTTTTTTAAAACGGCTCTTTTCAGGGCCACCAATAATAACTGCTAACTGTGTAAACCCACTTTTTAAACTTGGATAGCCAAATATACTATACACTCAGGTTATACTGTTTATGACCGAATATATCTTCGTGTCTATTACCGAATTGAGTATTTTCTTTAAGGTATTTATGATCTCAAAAATCTGTATATTTAATATTGTATTACCCTTACCTAATGACATTGATAAATGACAACTGAACATGACCTAGTTGGTTAATTTTACATTGTTTTTAAATTTCCTTTTCACAGATATTTAAAAGACTTTCAACATAAATACCATATTTGTAATTATTGAAGCAGCCAATATATATAACTGTCTAGCCCGGCATTGCCCATATCATCTTTAGAATCTGAATTGAACGAATAATATATAGGCGAAGGATGTTTATTTTTTTTATGTGAACACTTTTTTCAAAAGAAATTTTTTTGGGGTGGTGTTTGGGAGGTTATTTTTTGATTTTCCCAGAAAATGTAATAAAACCTTTAAAACGGGGAAATCGGTACAACATAAAACAATTATTTATAAAAAACTATTTACTGCCTATTTAATTATTTTACCATAGCTTTTCTTCATCATCCCAAAAAAATTAATTTTTTAAGTATTTTGAACCAAAAAAATTATGATAGAACCTAGAACGACGTAATGACACGCCGGAAAATGTATGTTTTTTACCAATATTAATTGTTTTGACATATATACCGGATTTTTATGTACAATATAATTGTTATTTTCATGTCATTACTTATTGGTTTTATAGCACTAAAACTAACTGAAATGTGCGCTATAATAGCAATATAAAATTTCATATTTGGAGTCTTATGATAATTAACAAACGCTATAAAATCCCAGGCTTATTAAACAACATTTATTCATTAATTTGTTTTAAAATATTCTATTATTGTTTAGTTATTATTATAATTCATATCATTCTACAAGTATTTATTTCAAAACAGAAACAATATACGTCCGATCGTACAATAAATTATAAGTTAAACATGTTCAACAATAATTTCAAAAAGTTAAAAGTCCTAGAGGAAACACTCATTTTGCATATGAGGTAGGAGAAATATTTAGACGATTGCTTTAGTTGACAGCAGGTCTGATATCCGAACATCAGTTACTGCAGTCGACCGTTGCACGAACGGAACCGACTTCATAGATTATATGGACGATATACGTGTGACTGTTGTAGCAGTCAACTGTAGAACCTTATAGTTAATATTTTCTTTAAATAACCTTATTATTTAATAACCCAGGGGTCTTCAACCTTTTTTTTATGGAGAGCCATTATATTTATTTTATTATTATTTTTTGACTGCTGTATTCAATAATACGCAAGCGAACTACTGATTTCTACGATATTATATATTTTTTTAAATTATTTATTATTATTATTATTATTTTTGACAGCTGTGTGCACAATATACATTCAAACCGTTGATGATTAAACTATTTTCAAT